GAGGGCGCTGCGAACGTCAGCGCCCGGAGCTTCCCCCTAGCCAGCCTCGTTCCTCGAAAGCGTCTGCCGGTCTGTCTGTCCGCCAGGTCGGGGGTCCTCCTCAGCGATCTGGGGGCCGTGGGCTCGTGCCGGGCGCTGGCGTGACTCGGGTCCCTGCTGTCGCTGGGGGCAGGGCTCAGCCTTCCTGATCTGGCGCGACCACCAGATCAAAGCCCCATTCCCCCAGGAGCTTGGCGCCGGGGTGTCCCCCTTCTCCCGCCTACACAGTTGCTGGCTTCACCGCCCCCTTTTGCCTTTTTGACCTTAGCGAGACCCTCCCTTTCCTTTCTATTTCCGTTTTATTGTCTTTCTTCAATCTCCTCTGCTCTCCCCTCCGAGGCCTTTCGCAAACTCAATTTGGTCCTGATAGCTTTCCCACCCCTTTTCACCTCCTCTCTTCACTGAGGCTGGGATTATCCCCAGGACAGGTCCGGAGCTGCGTAATGCCTGGCCCAGTCGTCAGCCTGAACCTAGGAGAGGTGTAGGAAGAGGTTCTGGAGCCTCAGTCGCAACCAGGCCTGCTATTTCACCTGCTGGGGAGGTGACTGGTTTCTTCTCGCGGTGGGTGGGTGATAAACCCCAGAGCGTTGTTTCTGGTCACTTCCCGTAACTGCTTCTTCCTCAAACGTATGGGATGAGACCTTAACCCCGGCAGATCCTGAGGCTGTATAACTAATGTGGTTCAGAACTCTCTGGCTCAGTGAGCCGGGAGTTAGGACCCCGTTGGAAGCCGTGCAACTTGGGGAATTTCACACAGTGTAGGCCAGGACTATTCGGGCTGGCTCGCTGGCTCGTGGGCAGTTCCCCTTCTATTAGCACCTCTTGCTGACTGTCCTTTGTTGATCCCTTCGGGGAGATAACAGCCTGCAACACCAGCCCCCAGGAGGTGGAAGGAAGGTCCTCTCCACCTCTGCAGGGTTCTCGCCCGTGTGATTTTTGTCTCCAGTACTTAGCAATGCATAGGGAAAGCCTCTGTCTCCCCAGCAGCTTGAAAGATAAAGCTCCAGGAAACCATTTCTGTGGCTGCTTGTGGGGGGCTATGCTATAGGTTTACAAATCATTGCCTTAGGCAGCTCTGTAGACTCAAGAAAATTATATTTAAAAATTTAATGAAGTTACATACCCAGGTGAAAATTTGAACACTGTGCCATGAAGTGGGTCTTGCATACACCCTAGAACCCAGTTCTACTCCCCAGGCACAGCCACCAGCTATTTCTTGCTCATCCGAAGATAATTTCCCACAGTTGTCTTTAAAAATAATTATATACCCTGTTCCTCACCCAGCTACATCCCGGAGACTTGTCCACCAGAGCACACTGTCCCTTCACTAGGGTTGCTTTGAGCCTTGCTCTTTGAGGCATTATGATAGAAGCTATCTTCGGTCTTAGGTTCTTACAGGGGCAGGGACTTATCTATAGGTAAAATTGTGAGAATTGCCAGTTCAGAAGTTACATGTGTTTGAAATTTCAGTAGGAGTTACTACCCTTAACATTATTGCAGTTCACACTGCTGTCACTGGAGAATCCCTTTATCTCCTTGTCGATTCATGTCCAGGTGCAAGTTTAGGTTTTAATCTTAGTGACATTCAGGTCTTGGGACAGTGCCTTTTACACATTCCGCGGTCCTCTTCCCAGATGCACTCACTAGAATGAGTTGGTGATTCTTGAACTTATTTTTGTGTAGCGTCTGTCTGTGCACCACCTCTTCGCAGGCAATTCGTTTGTGATTGAAAGCAGACTCACTCTGAGGAAGCTCGAAGCAGCTCTAAGAATGGCAATGAGAGTGAGACACCAGATAGGAATGTTCTATCTCCACACCTCTGACGGGAGTGGGTGGAAGACGGAGACCATGTAATCTCCTTCTGACCCCAGTTTAAAGAGGCAGGGCCCTGTTTATCCGTCCTCAGCCACACTGAGACTCTTTGTCTGCCAGCCTTACTTTGTCAGCAGGCAGGCAGGATCCTGTCTACATCCACACCTCCGACTGCCTTCCCAGTAGCCAGCTCTTAAGTGGTCTGTTTAAAACCTAGGGATGGGGTGTCCGGATGGCTTCTCTTTCCCAAGCCTCATCTCAAAGGTTAGGAGGGCTTGGGCCCCTGTGACTCCATATCCCCTCCCACATCATTCATTTTTTCTGCAGGACCCCAAAGTGGTGCAGGCATAGATTCCAGAAGCGTAATGCACTGACCAAGGAAAGTGTGAGTTGGTGGAAGTTCATGGCATTCCTTCTGTTTTCCTAGAAGGGAAGGAGACCAGGGATGAGGAGTTGGAAGATGCAGCCAGCAGAGCCTCCCCTCTGCCCCCTGCTGCCCCCTGCATCAAGGCCTCTGTGATCATGACAGGAAATGATCCTTGTGCAGGACCAGCAGCTCATCTGGGAGGGTGCAGTGGGCCGATTGTTGAAGTGACGACGGGGGAGCATATACTAAATGGGGTGGGGGCAGTTCAGGGAGCGGAAAAGAAGCAGTAATGGCAAGATGACTCATTGTAGGAATTGGCTGCCGACTCTGGGAGGGAGTTGGAGCCTGTCGTGTAACTCATGAACCATTTGTCAACTGCAGGGGTTTAGAAAAGCCAGCCTGCCCTCCGCTGAGGGGCTATCACAGAATGAAAAGCCCGAAGAAGGGTATTTAACCAGTGGTTTGACACCAGGGGAATCGTCTGGGCTGGCAGAGACAGAAACGTGTGTGTTTACTCTGGGTGGGAAGCAGAGGGTGGTCTGCGAGGCCAGGAACGTGGGAGATGGGCCTTAGGTTCTTCTGTGTGCACAGTCACATGTTTCAGAAAAATCATGAAAATTGCCACATTAGGTTATGTGCCTTTCACGGGCAAGCCCTTGGCCCTCTGAGGTCGCCCAGTTCGGTTTTCCAGTTGATCCTTCAAAAGCTTATTTATATAGGCACAGCTCTGTGGCTGGGCCATTTTTAACCTGTGACTGATCTGTCTGGTGGGAAGGATTCTTCTGTGCCCCGAGTTGATATATGGCTGTGGGCCGTGGGAGGGCAAAGGTTAGGAAGAGAGGCTAATAAGATAAGGGAGCTGGTTGCAATGGGCTAGCTGCAGTTTTTACTTAATGCGGGCTGAGAATGAAGTTCAGAAATTCTCATTCCTACCATTTGGTTTAGAAAGTAATTAACTTGATTGATGCCTCTAAGTTGAGCCTACAGGGTTGTTAGCAGTGTCCTTTGCACCATGGGAGTGAGAGGCAAGGCTGTTTTACTGCCCAGAGTTGAAACACGCCCCTTCAGAATGAGTGGCACAGTACCATCCACCAATCTGTTTATAGCAGACTGGGCTGGGGGAGAAACTGGCTCAGGAATCTTCTCATAAATTAGTGAAATCTTGCAGAATCACACCATCAATTTTAGATAAGCAAGAGAGAAAATCGGTTTTGTGTTCTGGAGGGATTTGGTTAATATTTGCCAGATGATAGACGGTGCCTTTCACAGTTTTAGGTGCTTCTGATTGGTGCAAAAAGTTCATCATTGCCTCTCATACCATGTACGAGTACAGATTCCCTATAGTGAATGTTATCATTATGTGTATCTAAAATGTACCAATAAAATAAAACACACAAATAAATCATCACCTCTTTCAATTATACAGACTTTTAGGTGTGTGTAGCTCATTTCTATTCTAAAACTGGTGGTTTTGCTAAATTTTTATATGACCAGAATGTTCATTTAGGTTTTTGGGTTTTTTTTTTTTTTTCTATTCTACACAAGAGTATTTTCTGATTGAGAAACCAGGGTTTACATGTGTCTCACTTTTTGTTTGTTCCTTTGTTTTTATAGGGGGATATGAGACCTTCTATTCAGAATACCCTGAGTGTTGTGTGGACGTAAAGCCCGTTTCACAAGAGAAGATCGAAAGTGAGAGAGCCCTCCGTGGCCAGTGTGGAAAACCAGCGCTCAGCATCAGCTATAGGCCAGCCTATGATCAGGTGTGTGGTTTTCAGTTCCCGTCTCCGTTCCTTCCTCAGCACCCTTTTGCCTTCTTTCCTTGCTTGGCAGTGGAGTAGGTTCGTTCTTTGTGGATCAGGGTGTTGGCACCATCCTCTCGCTTTGAGAGCCTCTGCTGCTTGCCAACTTGAGTTCCCATCCAAGAATAAATGGGCACCCTTCCAGCAAACAAGTCGACAAGAGCGAGCAAGCCACAGGATGCTCCCTGGCTTCTGGAGAAAAGGGAAGTGGAAGATACATTATTACTCACTGGCTTGGGAGATTCAGAGAAGCTTTGAAATACAGGTTTAGGCTTCCTTGAAGAGCTTCCAGAACTGACTCGGGCTTCCTCTTCTTCTTTATAATTGCTCCTGCTTTGCAGTTTGTGCACACCAACCCTGTGCCTGTCGAGGGGTGTCTTCTTGTGTCTTTAGCTGAGCCAGGGTGGGGAAAAGTTGTTGCTACAGGGAAGCTCCTGTTTGGTTGGCTGAGCAGTCCCCTGGGGGTTTCTGATGCAATAGGACACAAGAAATCAAGAAACACTAGGTGGCTTGATGGTTTTACTCACATGTGAAGGATTTTTTTCCCTTCAAAAAATTGTGCTTTGTGTTAACTTGGGGTTACCTAGCACAGTGTGTGAGGCTAGGGAAAAGGTGGATAAGAATTCAGATCTGACAGAAACCAGAGCTCAAAACCCACTTTGCCATTTCAGAGGGGAGAAAACCTGCCCCAACTAGTGGTCCAATTGGTTTGCAGAGACCAGCAGCAAGCCCATGCCAGCTGCAGGCTCAGAACTCCTTGCTCTTGAGTCCCTGCTATGGTTCCTCTCAGAACCTTGTTTCCCTCTGGCGGAGCCATCTGACCTGGTGGGAGGAGCTTTTCAGAACACCCCCCAATCCAAGAACACAGCTAAAGTCTAAGAAAGTAGGCTTATCTTCTAGATCCTGCCAAAAATGTCAGATCCCTGCTGCAGGCAGACTCTGCCCCTCTGGATGGACTTCCAAGTAAAATCAGGTTGACCTGGTCTTGAACAGGGTCCTTGGTCAGGGAGCCAGCTGCTAGGGAATGATTGTGTTTATTTTCCTTTACAAAAAAACCTTCACCGTGTATGATGAACCCTTGGCCTTCCATGTGGGAGCATCTGGCCTAGCTACATTGCTATTTTTGTTTGTTTAGGTTGCATTTCCCCTCCATTTCTCAGAAAGTGAAAGAGAAATAAGAATTGGCAGTGTGCTGTGAAAGCATGGCAGCCCTTTCGCCAAGTGAGGGGTGGTGAGGTCTGACGTGTCTTCAGGACTCCTGGGGAAGTCCCGGGTGCCGCTTCGTAGAAGGGCTAAGTTAACCTCTGGGATTTCTGGAGGCCTCGGGTGTCTTCCTCCTGAGTCTAAATGAAAGACTGAGAAAAGGAAAGAAATGAAAGCTTCAGGGCATATTGGGCTAAGCTCACTGGGAAGTTGGATCGGATCCCAGGCCTGGTGTGTCAGTGTGTTCCAGGCACTCAGGAAAGGGAGAGATCGGAGCCAGCCAGCCAGCCTCGTCCTCTGAGGGGGAGGCTGTTGGCCCTGTTGATGGGGATGTGTAGCTGGTCAGGGGCTGAGCGAGACTGGACTTGGCTGCCTGATCCCTCTCTACCACCTCCGATGTGTTCCTGGTTTCTGACCAGTGGGAAGCTGGGCCCAGGGAGTGGGTCCTGCTCAGGCCAGCACCGGACTTCTGGGATTTGCTGGCCTTCGTATCTGTCCTGTGGTTTTCTTCAGAGAGAAGATGCATGGTCTGTTTGTTTATTCTTTAGCCTCAGATGAAAATGATAGCTGCATAATCTGCCAGATGTTAATGCACCTGTTATCTCATTTATGTCTTACCAGTTACCCTAGGAGGATAGGTATTATTATTCCCATTTTACAGATAAGGTTCAGAGGTCAGCAAAGCTGCCCAAGGTCATACCAGGTAGGAAGAGTGGGGGTGGGAATTGACCAAGAGCTACCTTCTCTGATGCCCAGATTCCTTTTTCATTTCTTTTTGGTTTGTTGTTGGTTTTGTTTTGTTTTGTTTTTTTTGAGACAGGGTCTTTCTGTGTAGTTCAGGCTGGCCTTGAACTATGTAGTCCAGGCTGACCTCAAACTCTCAAACTCTTGGCCATCTTCCTGCATCGGCCTCCCGAGTGCTAGAATTACAGGCATGCACCACCACACCTGGCTGAAGAGAGTATTTTTTATATGAAATGCTTGATTTCTCATACTCATCCCTGTTGGAATGCCCTCGGATAATGCCTTGCAGCTCAATTTAAGCAGTCGAATTTGGATTTCAATTCCAGCTGTGACCCTGCCTAGCTCTGACACAGGGATGTTATTTAATACCATCTGAGCCTCAAGTCACCCATGTGTAAAATGGGAACAACATTACCTACCTCCCAGATTTGTTGTGAAATGAATATAGTATCAGTACCTCTCATGCAGTGGTGGTGAATCTGCAGCCTGCCTGCCTGCTGCAGCTGGCTGTTTGTCATTGAAAGCTCCAAAAGCTTTGCCCTCACTGCTCTAAAGTGTTTAGCCCGGATGCTGGCCACTGTAGAGGCTAATAAAAATGCTACTTGTTGTTGTTATTTACCTTATGTAAAGTTGCTACAACTTTCTCCTAAGTAGCCGAACTGGCTTTTACTGAAACACTTGTCACGGAAGAAAGAGGGAACACTAGGTGCTGGGCAGGTTGAGAATTGCCTGTTGCTAACCCCCGTCACATGTCCCTTTCCCTGGGCGTTTCCATTCCACTCTTATTCCAGGACAGGAAATAGGAAATGGATGGCTTGGTAAGGGAAAGGCTCTCCCCAGCAGTGACTGTCCCTGCAGCCCAGTGTTTCCTCTGAATCTCCAGGGGCTCCTGCTGTTCCCACTGTCACTGGCTTTTTCTTGGCACCCGAGACTGCTGTAAATACTCAGAGTCCAGCGAGCTGGCCGTTCCTTTTCGGTTTCACACTGAGGTGCTAGCCTCTGGTTCCCCCTAGTCTAAATTCTCCTAAGTAGAGACTCCCGTGTGGGTGACATGTAAGCCTCTCTCAAAATACTAGTGCCTGTGTGAAGGTCAGGGGTGGGGGAAGCCCCGTGCTGTGGTCTAACAGCTTTTCTTAGTCTCCAGATTCTGGGTAGGCTGCAGTTATCTTCACTTGTAAGAAGCTTACGTTTTGGGAGGGGGGCATGACTTACCATCTCTAAAACTGGATTATCTCAGGATCGGTGAAGTACCAGATGTCTGGGGTGTGCAAACTCATCCCCACTTCATCCTCACCTCTGCAAACTCATCCTCACTTCGTCTCTGGAGAAGTCCCAGGACAGCTCCCCTTCAACTCTGGCCTTTCTGTGCCCCCATGCACCGCACCCCCACCAAAAGGAGGGCTGCTGGTGATTCCTGCTTCCTGGTTATGTGCCAAAAACTGAAAGTTTGGGCCATGTGGGTCTTGCTGTCGCGGAGTCACCTGGCAGTCATGCAGGGTAGAGAGTTTGCCAGGATGGAGGTTTCACCCGTGCTCTTGGCTGAACTGCCCTGGCTCTGAACTCCACCTGGATACCAGAAAGGGAACCTCTTGCCTTAAAAACACCATAGGTCAGAGTTGCTGTCTCTCTTCTCCCAATTGAGCAGGCTAACCCAGTATTTCCTGGTCATTGTTTGTCCTTATTGACAGGGCGGCCCAGTTGAAATCCTTCCCTTCCTCTACCTTGGAAGTGCCTATCATGCATCCAAGTGCGAGTTCTTCGCCAACCTGCACATCACGGCCCTGCTGAATGTCTCCCGCCGCACCTCTGAGGCCTGCACATCCCACCTACACTACAAGTGGATCCCCGTGGAAGACAGCCACACTGCTGACATCAGCTCCCACTTTCAGGAAGCAATAGACTTCATTGGTAGGTTCGGCCATCTCCCCTCCCTGGCTCTGGGAGCCCCCTCGGTGTACAGTTTAGCTTTTGAGGTCCTGATGGAGGCTGTGTTCTGTGAAAAAAGAGTGTCTTGTGTATGTACCCACTACAGGCTGGAGCCAAGGACGGGTGCAGCCACCCAAAGGCAGAGGGGGAGCTGGAGTTCCTGTTAAAGGAGCTTGACTTTGCAAGATAAATGAATTAATATCATTTTATGGCAATACTCCGCACAGCCCTTGTTACTGTTTCTAGCTGAGCGGGAGCAGAGCATGCCCGTGTGTCCTGCTCCACACGAGGAACTCAGGGGAAGGACCTTCCTAACTGTGCTTCTACGTAGGTTGGGGTACTTTCAAAAGCAAACAGGAGGATAGAAAGAGGGTACTGCTTATGCCCTGAGCCTCAAGGGCCCTGCAGCTATCCACAGTTTTGGCACATGGCTTTGGAGGCAGTTTGTTTTGCATTTTCAGCTAATTTTGGATTAAAGATAGCTTTTGACCTGAGGTCTGTGCTTTGTGCACAGAGAATTTGCCACCTGGGCACCCTTTCTGCATGCTTAGTGGGCACTTGTCATTACCCCACTGTACAAGCTCAAAGGTGAGTCCTTGGCCCGGGCCGCTCTGCCTGGGGTTTCCGGGTCTCCACCCCCATTCCTGGGTGCTGGCCTTTCTTTCTTTTTCTTTTTCTTTTTCTTTTGGTCTCAAATTTCCAAATAGCACTTCCAGCCTCGTGTGGCTACACCTCCCATTTCAGAAGTCTTCTTTCTCTTTGGCCGGCCTAGTTGCTGGAATTGAGACATGATTTTCCTGTGTTGGACTCCAAGGGAGGGGAAGGGCAGGTGTTGGCTACAGCGGTAATTGCCTAGTATAGGTAGTGATTAAAGGGCCCTCTTCAGCCATGTGGTAGGCCCTGTGCTCACTGCACAATTTCTGCTCCACGGAAATCCTGACAAGAGGTTTGGCATAGCCAGAAGGCCAAGCATGTCGTCCTTGTCCCCATGAGCCTCTGGGATAGATGATCCTGTTGGAGCCTGATAGGTCTCCAAAATGATGGGCTCCAGGCAGGAAGCCGTTGACTTATCCTCACTGGCCCTGGGAAGGCCTTGCCCTTCTCAGCCTGTTGTTTAATTACGTAGATAGCTCTTGCATGAGGTCGCGAAACCTGTGCCCATCCAGTTCTCAGAGCCATCCTTCCCCGTCCTATGTGTGTGTTGTGCCTGTGTTTGTGTATGCACTCACACAAACCCACAGTGTGTCGAAAGCTCCAGGTGCATTTGTCCTGATGCTCTGCCCTGCATTAGAGAAGGGCAGAGGTCCCTGTGCTACCCAAGGGAAGGGCAGGTCCCTGAGGTGCAGAGGGCGCCAGGCTCCTTGCATTCACAGGTGTGGTGCTGGGCCTGTTAAAAGCTGCACTCCAGAGGAAGCCAAACAGGAAAAGAGGAAAATAAGAGCCTGACTATGGTCCTAGGGACCTGGGTCTCCTCTTTGAACCAATTTACAGGGATTGTTTTGGGGGGGTTTATGTGTCTGTATTGAATTGAGTGCCACTGATGAGCCACCCTGGGTGTCCTCTGGGTTTTTTGTTTAGGTGGGGACTCTGTGGGGTCCTCCTTGTCCCTTTAGAAATTGTTTTTCTTTTAGTTGTTGCAGACTCATTTGCACGTTCATTTCCTGAACTTGGAGTAGGTGGGTGGAGGGTGGAAGGAGGGCTGACTTTCCCCCCTTTCAGAATCTTTGCATTTGCGCACTGTGGGCTAACAGAGTGCCAGCAGCATCTGACTTCCTGTGATGGAAGTGTTTCCTTATCTGCAAGAGAGGGAGTTGGAAAGTGTATTACTTGTGGTTTTGATTCGATATGTATTCGCCTTTCGCCCCTTCCCATTTTTAACAGTTAGTATTGTTTTGCTGGCAGGGGTAGAACAAGAAAGGAGGGGCCCCCTTTGTCATATTGACCTAAACAATGCTAACTGCCGCTGGCAGCTTTATAGCAGTTACTCCCATTGTTGAGCAAGATGGAGTTTGCAAAAGCCATTCCTGTTGCCCATCTAGTGAGTGTCACTTAGCCAGGGCTGTAATTAGTGGCTGGACATTATTTATCTTATGTTCAGTGGTGAGAACCCTGGGAGCTGAGCCAAGCATCCGCCCTGGCATAGCCAGACAGGATGCCCAGGGAGACCGGAAGGTCTCCACCAGACTGGGAGCTGGGTCATTGCTATTAGAAACAAACTGAGAGAAGCAAGAATGTCTGTCAGCCTCTGAGCCTGGGATACTCTGAGAAAAATGTGCACACCTAATCAAAATTTGCATCCAGTTTCCAGGATTTTCCAGTGCCATCTTGAACCTCATCAGTGGAACTCAAGATGTACTCCCCGAGTGGGTGTGGTGGCACAATCCTGTAATCTTAGGACTGATTGCAAGGGGCAGGCACTAGTGGGACCCCAAAAGCTCTGTCCTTGCCCGGGATGCTAAGGACTGGCGAATCTGGTAGGACCACAGCTCCTGCATAGGCACAGTGTGATCATTGGGTCACGTTGGTGTTCGACTGTCGAGCTTTGCCATGGCCTTCAGATCCCAGTCTGAACTCATTCCTACTCGTTTCTTCCTTTCAGACTGTGTCAGGGAAGAGGGAGGCAAGGTCCTGGTCCACTGTGAGGCTGGGGTCTCCCGGTCACCCACTATCTGCATGGCTTACCTCATGAAGACCAAGCAGTTCCGCCTGAAGGAGGCCTTCGATTATATCAAGCAGAGGAGGAGCGTGATCTCACCCAACTTCGGCTTCATGGGCCAGCTCCTCCAGTATGAATCTGAGATCCTGCCTTCCACGCCCAAGCCCCAGCCTTCCTCCTGCCAAGGGGAGGCAGCAGGCTCCTCATTTACAGACCACTTGCAGACTCTGAGCCCTGACGTGCAGGGTACTTACTGCGCATTCCCTACCTCGGTGCTGGCACCAGTGCCCACCCTCTCGACGGTGGCCACAGCCTCGTCCTGCTGAGACTTGGATGGGGTGCCGGCCCAGCCCCAAGAGCAACTGTGATTTTGTTGAAGTTTGTGAACATTTCATTCCTGGGCAGTGCTGAAGACCTCTGTCTGTCACACTGCCCGGGTGAGATGGTGAGTGGTCCCCAGGCTTGCGGCACAGAAGAACTTCAGACTGACCTCGAGGATAGGTCCGTGGGATGGAAGGAGGGCCGAGCCATTAGGACAGTACAGTTTGTGCTCACTACTGTACTTCCAGACCCCCTGCCCTCTCAGGACTGCCCAGTCCTTGCACCTCAAAGTTCGCCTTTGCATTTCAAGTGTAAGGCAATAAATACCTACAGCAACATGGGAAAGAGAAGTTGCTGGACTAGGAGAAAAGGCAGTTACAAAGCCAATTCATCTTGAAGGAAGCACAATTTCCACCTTATTTTTTGAACTTTGGCAATCTCCGTGTCTGTCTTCGTTGCTTTAGGGCATAAGTGGATCCCTGCCTTGTCAGGAAAGTACCCCCATTGGGTTAGGAATACGACGTCTGTGCCACTTTGAACCCTGAAATGTTTTGAAGATTCCTTTTGGGCCCAGGGGAGTAGCTGGGTGTCGTTTTCCGCTGTGGGTTCTTCCTGACCTTGGACTTTGGCACGATTCTTATTCATACTTGAACCTGTCTCCTCGCACCTCTCTTTGGAGCAACTCTGGTGTCATTCGTGAAGTTTTCAGACCATTGGCCTAAAGTCACCTCTGCAGTGGTGGCAGTGGGTACCTGGAGAAAAGCGTGTTCTGGGTCAGTGGCACTGAAAATAGTCACTCTTCAGCCTGCTGGGTCCTCTTTGTGCTTATGTCTCATCTCTGTGACACTTATTTTGCTCCCTGCCCCTGGGGTTGTCTTCAAGCTACTGACTTCTGGGATTTACAGATTTTGCAGTGTGGTACTTCTTTTTGGTCTAGGTTATTTCTCCAGGGGAAAAGGCAATAATTTCTTAAAACCCATGTGAATGTGAAGAAAAGCGGTATGTTACTGGTTGTTTGTTTTTTTTTTTTAATAGTGCAAAATAAAAGTAGATAAAAGCATTTCTCTGTGTAGTTGGTGAATTGGGGTGATGCAGGGATACCGTGGGATGGGGTGGGGATGGTGGATGTGCAGTTGGTGTGAAGCTGTCCATCTGCTCACGAGTTGGCCATCTCAGCCTGGACGAACATGGAATGCTGCCCTAGGGAGCAAGAGAAGTTTCTGGACATTTAGCCCTGCAGGGAGATGCTCAGGGTAATGTCCATTCTGGGCCCTTCGCTCTCATCACACCAAGGCAGAGTTTGACTTGAATCTTAGATTCCTCACCTGTGAAATGGAGTGAAACAAGGTAGATGATCCTGAAGGTCCCCGGAAGTTCAAGTCCCTTCATTCCAGCCAGCCCTGTGGCCAGCCTCCTCCCTCCCTGCCTGATGGCCATGGAGATGATGCGAACTAGGTGAAGGTTCAGTTTAAGGGCCTATCCCCCCACGCAGCTTTCACAAATTAGAGATACCTCCCTCAGGAGTTCCTAGGTGAGGAGTTCCTCAATGAGTGGGTTTAAATCTAAGACAGAGTCAACTTGCCTTCTGAGTAATTTCCTCTGCGTTGGTGGGGGAAGGAAGGAGTTGTATCGCCTTCTCCCCATACGTGTGCTGCCCCTGCTCCAGCCTAACTCTGGGGCCTATTTCCTAATCTGGGGAAACAGAACTGGTTGGAATTTATGCCAGTACTTAACACGGGGAAGCCATCCATACTCCTCAATTCTGAGATTCCCAAGAGGCCTCCAACAATCCCAGCATGCACTGGGCAAATAGTAAGATGGCAGCAGTAGCCCAGCTTTCTGAACACCACACCTCAAATGTTCTGTTTGAGCTGGATGTGGTGGTTCATACCTGTAATCCACTTGGGAGACTGAGGCCTTGGTCTCTGCATGCCTTGCCTTTCCTCAAGTCACTGTCCACAGTTTCCTCGGAAAGCTGGGGGCAAGAATGCTGGATTTCTTCCAGCTGTTCCCCTCCACGTGGCAATTCTGTGGAGAAGCTCCATCCTCAGGGAGAGGGAATCTGGGGTCCAGACTCCCCTCCCTAGCTTCTGTGTGCTGGAGCTGACCCTCAGCCTATATGGGTGGGACTTCGGGGCTTGGTCTAGCTGCTGCCTGATCTGTCCTGGTTCCTCTTCTCTTGGCTGCAGCCCCTGTGCCCGTTGTGTGGGCTTGGCCAGGTGTGAGAGCTGGGGATAAGAAGGCTTTGGGCTGCAGGGTGATGTGCTGAGCTGCATCCCACTTGCTGACTTTCGATTTATTGCATTAAAGTCTTTCTCTAAAGGGTGAGTAAGTCCCCTAAATCGGGAGACTGAGGATTACTCATAAGCTGGTGAGTCACCAGGGAATAGGCTGAGTGGAGCCCCACGGCTGGGGTGGCTCTGGAACTCTCCACTTAATAGCCTCTACGTTAACTTTCCCTCCATCTTTGCAGACAGACCTTACTGTGGCTTCTGGTGCCAGGTGGGAAATTCAAGCTGTCGCTGTGCAGCTTTCGCCTGGGGTTGGAGAAATATCTCTGTAGGTCTCCGGTGTCCTCTCTGGCAGAGATGTGCATCTCTGGCAGATTCTCTTTCCTCATGTGCGTGATCCCACTCAAGTCCACCCACTTCTGAACTGGGCTTGACAGGGTCATGAGATGCGTAAGCAGCTCACCCGTGTATCCAGCACGCTGGCAGGGCCCTGTGCACACAAGGTCACCTGTATGCAAGGACCCCGGAAATCGGCCTGCTCAGGGGTGCGGCCCAGTGCTCTCTTTCTCTCTTGAATGGATTCTGTTCACTGCCCCAGCCCCGTGGCTGAGGCCCTGGCTTCTCACCCTAGGCTCTTGGGCACGGCCTGCTGCTCTCACACTTGTGTTCTGGGGACCCCTCCTATGGGGAGGCCTGGCACACGTAAACAGATTGTTCGGTTACAACCCAGACCCTCCTGACCCTGAACACTCATGATTATCCACTCACTGAGCACCTTTAGAGCCTGGGATTCAAGGAGGAGTGAGAGCCAGGGGGCTCCTGGCCTGCGGAGTTCCTGGTTCTGGTGACTCGCTGAGCGCCCTTCTGTAGCAGGGCCACCTTCGGCCGCTCCTCCCCTCTGCCCCAGATGGGCCAGCCAGTAGGTAGACTGTGTTACCTGTGCTACCGCACCCGTTAACTTTGGTTTTTTTATTAGTGCGTGTTTGCAGTATGTAAGGGTTACATTCATCATGGAGAATTGGGATGTGTGCATAGCACATCCAACCCTGTTTTGTTCCCTCTTGGCCACACTGTTTTCCCCTTACTCTCCCACCTCCCTCCCTCCGTCCCTTTTTTTCCACATTGCTGTATCTTTTATTTTACTCTTTATTTATATGGGAGGTTTCTCACATGAGGGAAACCATGAGGTATTTCAGCTCATGTGTCTGATTCATTAGCAAGGTTTTCCCATGCTGCATCCATTTCCCTACAGATGACTCGAGTTTCTCCTTCTCTATGGTGACATAGCACTCCGCTGTATGTAACACCACATTTTCTTTTTCCATTCTCTGTTGATGGACTTACAGGCCACTTCCAAGATTTAGCTGTAGTGAATCGTGCTGCTATGAATGTGTCACTGCAATCTGATGACTAACTCTTTTGGGACGATACCTGGGAGAGGAATTGCTGGATCAAATGGAATTTCTTGTTTTAGTTTTTTAGGGAATCTCCATACGGATTTCCATAATGGCGGTACTAGTTCACATTCCCATCAGTAATATAGAAGGGTTCTTTTTTCCCCTGCAGGCTTGCCAGCATTTTGTTGTGACAGTGGACTATTGACTTACGAACTCACTTTGTTCATGAGGGCTGGTTGTAACTTAAATTGGTCAACTGAAGGCTCAGGCTCTTCTACACAGCCTTAAGTCTCTCTCTTGAGCCAGGTGTGGTGGCACATACCTGTAATCCCAGCACTCAGGAGGCTGAGGCAGGAGGATCACCATGAGTTTGAGATCAGCCTGGGCTACATAGTTCAAAGATGGCAAGACCCTGTCTCAAAAATAAAAAGACCACAAAGTCCCTCTCTCTCTCTCTTTCTCTCTCTCTCTCTCTCTCTCTCTCTCTCTCTCTCTCTCTCCTAAATATAGGCAGATCTCCATGTCCTTAGAGAGACACTGGCCCAAGATTTCTCAGTTGACCCCACACAGGAAGGGATGCTATCATGTTCCTTCCAGAGCTCTTTAAGGGTTAAATCTGTATCTGAGGCCATCTGGAAGCACAAGCAGCCAGCATTCAGGTCATAATTCAAGACTTTGTTCATAAGTTAAAACTAAAATTTCAGGGCTGGGGATTTAGCTCAACGGTTCCGCCACCTGCCTCACAAGCGCAAGGTCCTGAGTTCGAATCCCAGCACCAAAAACCAAAAACCAAAACTTAAGTTCCAGCCATAACCCAAGTTCATATGTCAGACCGGTTGTAACTTGGGGGTCCACTGTATGATTTCTGGATGATAGCCATTCTTTCTGGAGTAAAATAGAGTGTCAGTGTCATTTTAATATGCATTTCTGTAATGACCACAGATGTCGAACATATTTTCATAGGTTTATGGCCATTTATACTTCTGAGAACTGCCCATTTTAGTTGCCCATTTTTTGATTGGGTCTTTTATTTTAGGGGGGTCTTACATTTTTTAGTTCTTTATATATTCTAGATATTAGTCTTCTTTCCAAGGAATAGTTGGCCAAATTTTTTTCCCATTCTTTAGGTTGTCTCTTCACTCTGTTGGTTTCCTTTGCTGTGGTTTTCAATTTGGTATGATACCATTGGTTGCTTCTTGCTGTTACCTCTTGTGCAATTGGGATTCTGTTCAGAAAGTCCTTGCCTATGCCTCTGTCTTCAAGAGTTTTAACTATTTTGTCTTTATTTCTGTTTTAATATTTAGATCTTTGATCCATTTTTATTTTAGCGCGGTACGTGGTGAGACATATGGGTCTAAATTCAATCTTCTGTGCATGGACAGCCAGTGTTCCCAGCACCATTTGTTAAAGAGGCTGTCTGTCCTCCAGTGTAAGTTTTTGGCCCCTTTGTTAAAGGTCAGGGAATCGAATGTTCTTGGAGTTGTTTCTGCATTCTCTGGTCTGCTCCATTGATATATGTGTCTATTTTTGTCCCAGTACCATGCCAATTTAATCACTGTGGCTTTTGTAGCATACCTCGAAATCCAGAATTGTGATGCCTCCTGCCTCATTCTTGTTGCCCAGAGTTGCTTTTGCTATTCTAGGTCTCTTCTGGTTCCATGTGAATTTTAGGATTGTTTCCTCTGGTTCTATGAGGAATGCTGGTGGTATTTTGATTGGAATTGCTTTAAATCTGCACATCAGCTTTGGAAATATGGCCATTTTGACACTATTAGGTCTGCCTGTCCAGGAGCAGGGGAGATCTTTTTCTTTTCTGATGCCTTCTTCCATCTCCTTTTTCAAGGTACTGTCATTTTCATTATCGAGTATTTTGCTTCCTTGGCTAGGTTACTATCTAAGTATTTAATTTTTCTGATGCTGTTGTGCAGGGTATTGTTCCCCCAATTTCCTTCTCAGTGAGTTTATTATTAATGTGTAGGTGTGCAAATGATTTTTGTGATTTGACTTTGTGTCTTGCTATGCTACTGAATTTGGTTATTCATTCTGGGAGTCCTTCGGTGGAACTTTTTCAGTCTTCTGTGTAAAGGATCATGTCATCTGCAAATAATGACAGTGTGACCTCTTCCCTTCCAATACGTTTCTCCTTTATTTCTTTCTCTTGCTTCTTTGCTCTGGTAAATGTTTCAAGAACTATATTGAACAGTAGTGGTAATAGCAGAAACTCTTTGTCTTTTTCCTGATTTTTGAGGAAAGCTTTCAGTTTCTCCCCATTTAATATGGCGTTGGCCTTTGGTTTGTTATCCGATTGAGATAAGGTGAGATGATCATGTGAGTTTTGACCCCCTGTTTATGTGATGTATCTCATTCGCTGATTTGTGTATGTTGAATCGTCCCTGCATCCTGGGATGGATCCTACTTGGTCATG